TTCAACATAAAATATGCAGGAATTTTCCAACTCCTTATCAGCCTGTACTTTTTTTTTGTTCAGGCATTTTTCACCGCTGATGGTGTCAGTCAGACTGAATCAGCATACACAGCTCTTAGTTAAAGTTTGAACCAGTCCAATCAAATCACCTAGAAATGGCTAGAATGGACAAACCAAAATAATTAAAACACTTATTGTAAGGGAGCCTCAATGGGATGTTTTGTTTAAACTAAATAAAGAGGAATACATGTATCTAGATGTCGAGCAAGTTCAGTTGCTTTAGCGGTAATTAAAGGAAATATTGAGATAAAATATATAGACAAGAGGTTTTGAAAAAGAGAAGAGAATATCCACTTATTTGTGAACTTCCTATTTATTGTATTTTCAAAAGTTCTTGAAAAATGGTCTTACAAGTGCTGGTAAATGATTCCAAAATAATGATGCTAGGATGTCTGATCCCTGCATTAATGTAATGTTTGTTCTGTATTTTAATTTTCTTTTTGAGCAGATACCAAATAATGATGGAAAGAGAGCCACATCCTATATGTGGCACAATAACCATAAGATCTTCTGTGGACAACTCATTAGAAAACACCTGTAGTGGATTTCTCTTGGATAGCAAGCTGGGATATTTCCTTACCCATGGGACTGTTTTATCGGAACATTTACACATCAAAAGTAAAGTATTTAAAGAATTAAATAAGAAATCGTATTCCAGTGTCAGACAAACTTTTGAACATCTACAGGTAACTATCCAATTGCCAAAGATTGACTTGGAAAATAGTAGGAGTATCAGTCTAAATCCTGACTTAAAAGCCAGTCTTTCTAATGCAGTAATAGAAGACCTCCGAGATAACCAATGTGCTCAGTTTTCAGGAAGCGTCCATAGTTTATTTTGTGTACCAAACTTACAAACTCTTTTAAAGAAACTCATGCCTCCTGATAACTGGGAATTTGCAGAGGATTTGTCCAAGAAAAGCAAAGAGGAGCAATCAAAATCATTGATTTTCCATAAACTCTTATCCTGTTTTGTGCTTATCAAGCTTAATAATTGGGTACCTTTCTATTCAGTTATTTCAACAAAATCTTCTAATAGTAACTTCATAGGAGATTCAGTGGAAATTGTTTCTACACCATTTGGAGGGCTTAATCCAGAGGTGTTCCTAAATTCCAGAAGTGCTGGAATCATAAGTAATACAGCAGGAAAGCATAAAGTTCTGTTAATGACTGATGCCAGGTGTGTTCCAGGCTCTGAGGGTGGGATATTACTGGAGAGGAGAAGGTCAAGGTAATAACTGTGGTGTACTGAAAAAATACTGACTGCTGAAAACTAATGACAACTCATTACTGATGTATACTGAGAAGAACTGACAGTTTCCTCTTTTATCTTTATTTGGTTGATTGTAGCAGTGGTTACAGAATTAAACAAATTTGGTAAAGTATAGATTCTAATTACCTAAACCTACCATATGTGGAAGTTATATTCATGTATCGTTCACTTGTATAATTAATAGATGTGTGATTGGTGTGATGATAGCCACTCTCTGCTGGAAAAATAACGAGTGGGTGGGGCTATCCATGGCCTGTGCCTTGCCAGAAATCCTGAAAGCAGTAGATGGAATTCCTATTGAGATTGGCCCTGCAGTGCTAAACATTGATGGAAAAGGTAACAGTATCCAAAATGAAGAAATGCATAGGTTTTTGATCCCTTAAAACAGGAGGAGGGGGTATATGTTTTAAAGCTGGAATGGGGAGAGTAAACATGATTGTCAAAGAACATTCATAATTTTTAATGGTAAATATTATTGTGAATTGAAATTTGTAGGTCAACCAGACACAGTTTTACAACAAGTAGTCCGCTCAGTTCCCATGATCTCCGTCAGAGGAAGCTGGGGGTCAGGGTTCATAGTTGGTATCCATGGAGATGAAGTCATTCTCCTGACTTGCAGCCATGTTGTCAAAGATTGCAATCACACTCCAGGTATGTAAGGTCAGAAAAAATTAATTGTATAGCCCTATTTCACATCTCCTAATTGCTTTTATATTTAGTAGAATCTCTATAGGATTGCAGCACTTTTCACAAACTACAATGGGTGTTGAAAATATTTATAAAGTTAAACTAATTTAGAATTTTATCTTTGTTAACCTCAGAAGTTAACCATAGAATTAGTCTTATATTTTTTTAAGAGGTAAAAAGAATCACCATCCTGATTTAGAATGTAAAACATTTTTTACCACAAATTATTGTTTTTATTTTTGCACTTTAACCCTACTTTAATCATTAAGTGATTGCCACTCGCTTTGGTTAAAAGTCTTAAAACTAGTGATGGTCATTATCTTCTTGATGTCGGTTTTGTGATATAGTTTCTCTTCAAAAACCCTTGACAAATTTCACCATTCAAAAGTCAGGCTTGTGGTTACACTATCGTCTCAAGCCATGCTTCGGAGTCCACATAAATAGGAGAGGATTGTACATTTTGGCTCTGGATTACTACAGTACGGTTATTTCAGAGTAACTGGGCCAATTTCAACTTTATTTGGCATGAAACGTTTATGGATGATGGGGATTCAAATTTATCAAGGGAAGATAATAAGATTTCCCACAGGCATATTCAGGTGGTGATGATTCAATGTTATGCACATCATTACCTGGGGTAGGGTGGAGCCACAATGTGCATTCATATCTTTACATGGGGATTTTTAGGAAAATCATTAAAATATTCTGCTTATTAAGAAATCAGCAAAGCCATGAATAGTTATACATGTATCTATATAAAGCTATGATTTGTTATATCTTTATAAGAGCATACTCATATGATGTAGATTCAAGTTTGTTATATTGCTTAATGTTTTTTTCTGTCACTGTGTATTGTCAAAGAGACTTCTAGTTATTAAGTTGATCTTTCTTTCCAGCAAAAATTAAATGGCCTTCAGGAAATGTATACTCTGGAAAGTTACTGTACAGAAATATCACCTCCCCTGCATTTGACCTTGCTCTTTTGTCTGTGAAGGTCAATGCAGGTGACTTTCCATCTTCACTGAAACCATCAAAGGTGAAAGAAGGTAAACTGGACAAATGGAGTTCTTAATATACATGTATCTGTTAATTATATTTACCAGGTACATTAATTTCACAGATTAAAAAAAAATGCTTATTATTTAAAGAATTGTGAAATAACTCCTTTGAAACATTGAGTCTAGTGATGCATTTATCTGGTAGATGGTGTGCATCAATTCAATATGCTATAGTGAGTTAGTGACACAAAAATGAAGATTCAGTATATACTACTTCATAAAACTTCATTAGGATAAACATTTTCATTTCTATCAGCTTTCTTTTAATTATTCCTTTCATGAATTAAAATAATTTTTTGTTGTAGGAGAGACAGTATTTGGAGTGGGTCATGCCATCTTCAATGAAGAATATGACCTTCTCCCATCAGCTACCTCAGGAACTGTGTCCAAAATTCTCAGAATAAAGAACCAAATTGTCATGCTTCAGGTTAATTTTTATCTAGTGAATTCAATTGTTTTAAAAAGTTATGTAATCTATAATCTTGTTAAATCTGGTCATTTTCTATGGAAAACGCAGTGTCCAGATTAGACAAGTTTACTGTACAAAGTACTTGTAGACAGGTCTAGTTTAACTGTGCAATGTACTTGTAGACAGGTCTAGTATAACTGTACAATGTACTTGTAGACAGGTCGGTATAACTGTACAATGTACTTGTAGATAGGTCTAGTATAACTGTACAAAGTACTTGTAGACAGGTCTAGTTTAACTCTGCTATGTACTTGTAGACAGGTCTAGTTTAACTCTACTATGTACTTGTAGACAGGTCTAGTTTAACTGTACAATGTACTTGTAGACAGGACTAGTATAAATGTACAATGTACTTGTAGACAGGTCTAGTAAAACTGTACAATGTACTTGTAGACAGGTCTAGTATAACTGTACAATGTACTTGAAGACAGGTCTGGTTTAACTCTACTATGTACTTGTAGACAGGTCTAGTTTAACTGTACAATGTACTTGTAGACAGGACTAGTATAAATGTACAATGTACTTGTAGACAGGTCTAGTATAACTGTAAAAAGTACTTGTAGACAGGTCTAGTATAACTGTACAATGTACTTGTAGACAGGCTAGTTTAACTGTGCAATGTACTTGTAGACAGGTCTAGTATAACTGTACAATGTACTTGTAGACAGGTCTGGTATAACTGTACAATGTCCTTGTAGTTAGGTCTAGTATAACTGTACAAAGTACTTGTAGACAGGTCTAGTTTAACTCTGCTATGTACTTGTAGACAGGTCTAGTTTAACTCTACTATGTACATGTACTTGTAGACAGGTCTAGTTTAACTGTACAATGTACTTGTAGACAGGACTAGTATAAATGTACAATGTACTTGTAGACAGGTCTAGTATAACTGTACAATGTACTTGTAGACAGGTCTAGTATAACTGTACAATGTACTTGAAGACAGGTCTGGTATAACTGTACAATGTACTTGTAGACAGGTCTAGTATAACTGTACAATGTACTTGTAGACAGGTCTAGTATAACTGTAAAAAGTATTTGTAGACAGGTCTAGTATAACTGTACAATGTACTTGTAGACAGGTCTAGTTTAACTGTACAATGTACTTGTAAACAGCTCTAGTATAACTGTACAATGTACTTGTAGACAGCTCTAGTTTAACTTTGCTATGTACTTGTAGACCGCCTCTGCTTAACAGACCTAGTTTAACTGTGCTATGTACTTGAAGAGCACGTGTGCTATACAGGCCTGTAGTTTAACTGTGCTATGTACTTGTAGACCAACTGAGCTATACAAGACTAGTTTAACTATGTTATGTACTTGTAGAACACCTGTGCTCTACATGACTAGTTTAATTGTGCTATGAACTTGTAGACTACCTGTACTATACAGGTCTATAGTTTAACTATGCTATGTACTTGTAGATCAACTGAGCTATATATGACTAGTTTAACTATGTTATGTACTTGTACAATGCCTGTGCTATACAGGTCTTTAGTTTAACTGTGCTATGTACTTGTAGACAGGTCTAGTTTAACTCTACTATGTACTTGTAGACAGGTCTAGTATAACTGTACAATGTACTTGTAGACAGGTCTAGTATAACTGTACAATGTACTTGTAGACAGGTCTAGTATAACTATGCTATACATGACTAATTTAACTTTGCTATGTACTTGTAGACCACCTGTGCTATACATGACTATTTTAACTGTGCTATGTACTTGTAGACCACCTGTGTTATACATGACAGTTTAACTGTGCTTTGTACTTGTAGACCACCTGTGCTATACATGACTAGTTTAACTGTGCTATGTACTTGTAGACCACCTGTGCTATAAAGGTCTATAGTTTTACTGTGCTTTCTACTTGTAGACCACCTGTGCTATAGAGGTCTATAGTTTAACCGTGCTTTCTACTTGTAGACCACCTGTGCTATACAGGTCTATAGTTTAACTGTGCTATGTACTTGAAGACTTCCTGTGCTTTACAGATCTAGTTTAACTGTGCTATGTACTTGTAGACTACCTGTGCTTTTGCCTTTACAGACCTAGTTTAACTGTGCTATGTTTTTGTAGACTACCTGTGCTATACAGGTCTATAGTTAAATTGTGCTATGTTTTTGAAGACTGCCTGTGCTTTACAGACCTAGTTTAACTGTGCTGTGTACTTGTAGACCACCTGTGCTATAAATGACTAATTTAACTGTGCTATGTACTTGTAGACCACCTGTGCTATAAATGACTAATTTAACTGTGCTATGTACTTGTAGACCACCTGTGCTATAAATGACTAATTTAAATGTGCTATGTACTTGTAGACCACCTGTGCTATACATGCTGGAGCCAGTGGGGGACCCATCGTAAACAGGCAGGGAAAAGTAGTCGGTGTCACAGTATGTAATGCAAAGTAAGTCAGCTGCTCATCAGGATTCATAAACTGTTCATTTTTCTTCTTCTATGGTAACCTGTTATTAATCATTTGTAATGTGTCCTTTAGTCAAAGAATTTTTAGCTCACCTGAGCTGAAAGCTCAAGTGAGTTTTTCTGATCACCCTTTGTCCATAGTCAGCCTATCTAGCTGTCCTTCTCTGTGTAAACTTTTTACAGAAGAACCCACTGGGCTACATTTTCTCAAAGTTGGTACAAAGCATTCTTATGTAAAGGAAATTCTGAAATTTTGAAATGAAGCGTAAAGTCCCCATCTAAGGGGAAATAATCAACAAAAGACAAAAATAGGGTGGAATCATTAAAAAAATCTTCTGGGGCCACAATAGGGAATTAAAGCATTTTAAGGGGGAAACTGATGAAAAACAAGAGGGTCAAAGTGAATCAGGTGAGGGTTGTGGCCCTCGGGTCACTTTATGTGTTACATTACATTGCCTTTCTGGTCATAGGTTACAAGTAGTATGTCTTTATCTAAACTAGAACATATTTTTAGCTCACCTGAGCCGAAGGCTCAAGTGAGCTTTTCTGATCACATTTTGTCTGTCGTCCGTCCGTCTGTCCGTCCGTCCGTCTGTCTGTCCGTCTGTAAACTTTTCACATTTTCGACTTCTTCTCAAGAACCACTGGGCCAATTTTGACCAAACTTGGTACAAAACATCCTTGGGTGAAGGGAAATCTAAATTGTTAAAATGAAGGGACATATCCCCTCGCAAGGGGAGATAATCAAGAAAAGACAAAAATAGGGTTGGGTCATTAAAAAATCTTCTCAAGAACCACTGGGCCAGTAAAACTAAAACTTATGTGGAAGCATCCTGGGGTAGTGTAGATTTTAAATTGTTCAAATCATGACCCCCGGGGGAAGGGCGGGGCCACAATGGGGAATCAAAGTTTTATATAGAAATATATAGGAAAAATCTTTGAAAATCTTCTTCTCAAGAACCACTGGGCCAGAAAAAGCTGAAACTGATGTGGAAGCATCCTGGTATATTGTAGATTCTAAATTGTTCAAATAATGACCCCCGGGGGAAGGGCGGGGCCACAATGGGGGATCAAAGTTTTATATAGAAATATATAGGAAAAATCTTTGAAAATCTTCTTCTCAAGAACCACTGGGCCAGAAAAGCTGAAACTTATGTGGAAGCATCCTGGTATAATGTAGATTCTAAATTGTTCAAATCATGACCCCCGGGGGAAGGGCGGGGCCACAATGGAGAATCAAAGTTTTATATAGAAATATATAGGAAAAATCTTTGAAAATCTTCTTCTCAAGAACCACTGGGCCAGAAAAGCTGAAACTTATGTGGAAGCATCCTGGTATAGTGTAGAATCTAAATTGTTCAAATAATGACCCCCGGGGGAAGGGCGGGGCCACAATGGGGAATCAAAGTTTTATATAGAAATATATAGGAAAAATCTTTGAAAATCTTCTTCTCAAGAACCACTGGGCCAGAAAAGCTGAATCTTATGTGGAAGCATCCTGGTATAGTGTAGATTCTAAATTGTTCAAATCATGACCCCCGGGGGAAGGGCGGGGGCACAATGGGGTATCAAATTTTTACATAGAAAGATATAGGAAAAATCTTTGAAAATCTTCTTCTCAAGAACCACTGGGCCAGAAAAGCTGAAACTTATGTGGAAGCATCCTGGTATAATGTAGATTCTAAATTGTTCAAATCATGACCCCCGGGGGAAGGGCGGGGCCACAATGGGGAATCAAAGTTTTACATAGAAAGATATAGGAAAAATCTTTGAAAATCTTCTTCTCAAGAACCACTGGGCCAGAAAAGCTGAAACTTATGTGGAAGCATCCTGGTATAATGTAGATTCTAAATTGTTCAAATCATGACCCCCGGGGGAAGGGCGGGGCCACAATGGGGAATCAAAGTTTTATATAGAAATATATAGGAAAAATCTTTGAAAATCTTCTTCTCAAGAACCACTGGGCCAGAAAAAGCTGAAACTTATGTGGAAGCATCCTGGTATAGTGTAGATTCTAAATTGTTCAAATCATGACCCCCGGGGGAAGGGCGGGGCCACAATGGGGAATCAAAGTTTTATATAGAAATATATAGGAAAAATCTTTGAAAATCACTGGGCCAGAAAAGCTGAAACTTAGGTGGAAGCATCCTGGTATAATGTAGATTCTAAATTGTTCAAATCATGACCCCCAGGGGAAGGGCGGGGCCACAATGGAGAATCAAAGTTTTATATAGAAATATATAGGAAAAATGTTTTGAAAATCTTCTTCTCAAGAACCACTGGGCCAGAAAAGCTGAAACTTATGTGGAAGCATCCTGGTATAGTGTAGATTCTAAATTGTTCAAATAATGACCCCCGGGGGAAGGGCGGGGCCACAATGGGGAATCAAAGTTTTATTTAGAAATATATAGGAAAAATCTTTGAAAATCTTCTTCTCAAGAACCACTGGGCCAGAAAAGCTGAATCTTATGTGGAAGCATCCTGGTATAGTGTAGATTCTAAATTGTTCAAATCATGACCCCCGGGGGAAGGACGGGGGCACAATGGGGTATCAAATTTTTACATAGAAATATATAGGAAAAATCTTTGAAAATCTTCTTCTCAAGAACCACTGGGCCAGAAAAGCTGAAACTTATGTGGAAGCATCCTGGTATAATGTAGATTCTAAATTGTTCAAATCATGACCCCCGGGGAAGGGCGGGGCCACAATGGGGAATCAAAGTTTTATATAGAAATATATAGGAAAAATCTTTGAAAATCTTCTTCTCAAGAACCACTGGGCCAGAAAAGCTGAAACTTATGTGGAAGCATCCTGGTATAGTGTAGATTCTAAATTGTTCAAATCATGACCCCCGGGGGTGGGGCGGGGCCACAATGGGGTATCAAAGTTTTACATAGAAATATATAGGAAAAATCTTTGAAAATCTTCTTCTCAAGAACCACTGGGCCAGAAAAGCTGAAACTTATGTGGAAGCATCCTGGTATAGTGTAGATTCTAAATTGTTCAAATAATGACCCCCGGGGGAAGGGCGGGGCCACAATGGGGAATCAAAGTTTTATATAGAAATATATAGGAAAAATCTTTGAAAATCTTCTTCTCAAGAACCATTAGGCCAGAAAAAGTGAAGCTTATGTGGAAGCATTTTGGGTAGTGTAAATTCTAAATTGTAGGAATCATGACCCCCGGGGGAAGGGTGGGGCCATTATAGGGAATCAAAGTTTTACACAGAAATATATAGGAAAAATCTTTGAAAATCTTCTCAGGAACCACTGGGCCAAAAAAGCTGAAACGTATGTGCCCATGGAAAGTTCATGGGGTAGTGTAGATTTCAAAATGTCTAAATTATGATCAGTGGGATAGGGTGGGGATGCATTATGTATAACAAGGGGGAAATCTGGTAAAGAACAGAATGGTCAAAGCTTCTCAGGTGAGCGATGTGGCCCATGGGCCTCTTGTTTTTGTTATTGGAAGAGTCACCAGTGTGTTGAAATCTAACCTACTTATGTTGGGTCCTCTACAAATCCTTAAGCACAAAACAGTATTAATACCCCAACAGACTATGTTTATGATAAAAGTTGTAGAAGGATAGAAGATTTTAGCCAGATACTATATAAACATATATCTTTACAGGGATGTGTCTGCTGGTGCTAGTTATCCACATATCAACATGTGTGTTCCCATGGAAACTGTGTTACCAATTATTGAAAAGTTCTTGAAGTCAAAAGGTTAGACTGATTTTAGAATTTAGAGTAAGAACACATTTTGCAAAAGTGGGTCAAATTTCATGTTTGTTGGTAACCAAAGAAAGATCTCTTCACAAGGAATACATATATTTATGTGAAATGTAAAAAAAAAGTAGCTAAGATCATTCAAAATTTACTGACAAGTTTTTGCAGACAGACAGACAGATGGACAGACAGAGCAAAAACAGGCTTTCGGGACATGAAAATGATGTTGTCAAGTAACAGGGTGGACATGTTTTCATGCTTTTTCAGATACAACTGTGTTGGAGCAATTGCATGTAAAAGACCCTTTGGTTAAAGGACTCTGGGCTCTAGAAACCAAAAACACAGGTAGGTTAAGAAATATTTCATTATCAAATATTCCCTTTTTAATACATATGAGGGTTGTCCAAGAAGTTCCTGGACAAATGCTTTATTTCCTTTTAGGGATGGCAATCGAATACAGAATTGCTAATCAGATAACCGTAAGACGTTCCGACCAATTAACCGGTTAATCGTATCTAAATTCACAAGATCATTGATGATTTTCCAAATCAGATGTCACACAAGTTCATTATATATTTGTCACCATAATCAAAAGTAAATCTGAATTGTAGCCCTTAATTTACAATGTTTGTTTAATAATTTAATTGGATAGGTAGGCCTATTTAGTAAGCAATACTAATGTTACACTGTATCAGAAAATGGTAATAACCACTTTATTTGTGATATGTACATTAAACTTTATTCAATTTTGACTCATTTTAAAAAGAAAATACTAAGTAGTTATTTCAATCAGATCACATTATTTAAAAGTTTATGGCATTTTAACCCTGGTCTGTTTGCACTATCCGCGACCTTTAATGACTAAGATTTTTACAAAATATTAAGGTCAAACAATAAAGATCAAACAATTGTGACTTGGAATTTCACAACTAATATTTTGGAATACAATAAGCATATCTTGAATCATTCATTTTGACAAAAAACGCCATGGTCCACGAACTTTTTGAACATTTAATCCTTGTAAATAACATTCCTATTCACACGAACGTTATTATTTAAACAATAAAATGCTTTCTTTGTTTGTTATTACTGGAACTAACGGAAGCAGCTGTTGCAGAAAAAATGCACAACCCACGTAAGCAGGTTATGTAAATTTTTTCTGCAAAACTTAAAATCAAGCAATGTTTTTTAGCTCACCTGAGCTGAAAGCTCAAGTGAGCTTTTCTGATCACATTTTGTCTGTGGGCCATCTGTCCATCCGTCTGTCTGTAAAATTTTCACATTTTAGACTTCTTCTGAAGAACTACTGGGCTAATTTTAACCAAACTTACCACAAAGCATCCTTGAGGGAAGGTGAATTGAATTTGATCAAATGAAGGTCATGCCCACTTTCAAGGGGATAACTAAGAAATAGCGAAAATTTAGTGGCAGACTGTAGAAGTACTTTTTTCCGCGTGGTATTAATTTACGCTATGTAAGCGCTGACAAACTTTCCGTGGAAATTTGTCCAAGCGTACTTAATATAAATGTAAGGCATGTAGTGGAAGTCTAAGAAATCCGCGTAATTTTCTACCTGCGAATTAAACAGAAATTGAGATTCCGCGGAATTATGACCCCGTGGAAAAAAGTACGTCTACAGTATTTTAAAAATCTTCTTCTTAAGAACCACTGTGCTAGAAAAGTTGAAACTTATGTCGTAACATCCTCAGGTAGTGTAGAATCAAGTTTGTTCAAATCATGACCCCCGGGGTAGGGCGGGGCCACAATGGCCGATCAAAGTTTTACATAGAAATATATACGAAAATTCTTTAAAAAATCTTCTTCCCAAGAACAGCAAAGCCATGATTGGTCATATTTATATGGAAGCATCCTCGGGTAGTGTAGATTCAAGTTTGTTCAAATCATGAGCCCCGGGGGTAGGGTCTGGCCATAATGGCCGATTAAAGTTATACATAGAAATATATAGGAAAATTCTTTAAAAATCTTCTTCTCAAGAACAGCAAAGCAATGATCATTCATATTTATATGGAAGAATCCTCGGGTAGTGTAGATTCTAAATTGTTCAAATCATGACCCCCGGGGTTAGGGCGGGGCCACAATGGCCGTCCAAAGTTTTACATGGAAACATATATGAAAATTCATTAAAAATCTTCTTCTCAAGAACAGCAAAGCTATGATCATTCTTATATATGGAAGCATCCTCAGGTAGTGTTGTTTTAAGTTTGATCAAATCATCCTAGGGGTAGGGTGGGACCACAATGGATGAGCACAGTTTTACTTAGGAATATATAGGAATTTTTTTTTTCAAAGACAGCAAAGCCATGATTTGTCATATTTTAGTTGGGCAGGGGGGGGGGGGGGAGGCACAATGATTGTTCAAATGTAAAGGGCAATACAGCCACAGGTAATCAAAGAAATATGCAAGCATCCATAGTTAGTGTAGATTCAAGTTTGTTCAAATCATACCCTCTCCCCAGACACTTTAAGGATTGGTTGAGTTCACTTTTTGGTTTAAACTTTTCAATAGTAAACTGATTTATGCTTTTTTCCTAGCCACATGCAGTGCTCAGGGCAGCGATGTGGCCCGTGGGCCTCTTGTTTATCCCAGTTGTCAAAACAACAACACAATATCTCATTATTCATGTCATGGGAATACAGAAAGAACTTAAAAGTAAAAAGTATATATTCACATCAGAACATGATAGAGACAGAAATAAATTCTTTATCCAAATTTGGCCTTTTCTTCAAAGTCAATGGGATAATGCAACCCAATTTGCGGAAAAAACGCACATATTTTGGTTCCCCTAATATGAGTAAGAACTTAAGTCAGCAAATAAAAATTACACTCATATATTACCATGAAATGCAACAGAATTTTTCAATGTTCTTTTTTTTTAACAGTGCATTCATCTTGAACTTAAAAGGGACATGGACATAGTTTCAACTGAATTTTTTAAAACTAATTTTAATGTTTATAATTCCTAACTAAGGCATCATTAAGTGATCAGCAAAAATTTGAACATTATTTGTTGATTAACAGATGAGATACAGAACTTCAAGTTCTTCATAATATATACAATGCTTATGCTTTGCTTTGTTTATATATATAGAAAATATCATATTTATAACAAAATGAAATTCAGCAAATCACTAGAAACTGTCTAATCGTATTTAGAATTATCTTCTTTGTTGAAATTTTGCTTTGATCAAGCATATATTAGTATATATTTACATCAACTGAATATTTTCTCCTTTATTTCTTAAGAAAACCCATTGCGTTAATCACTGCATGAACTACAGTCGGCATGTCGCCTGAACAGATTTCTTGAGCAGTGGCTGTTCCATCAATGAAATGTATAAAGACGATTGCATCATTAATACAATAATTAATCTTTTTAATCCTACTTTAATTGATTATTTAAACAGATATAAATATAAACAATAAAACGTCTTTCTTTGTTTGTTATTACTGGAATTAACGGTCGCAGCTATTGCAGAAAAAATTTACAAAACCCGCTTAAGCGGGTTATGTATTTTTTCTGCAACAGCTGCTTCCGTTAATTTCAGCAATAACAAACAAAGAAAGCATTTTATTGTTTAAATATTAACCTATATAAACAAAAACATTACACACACCCTGTTTGCACAACAAAGGTTAGGAACTCTAAATCTGTCTTGTATCTTGACAGATGAAGTTCAAAATTTTGATGATTATTAGAAAGATCTTAGCTTAATATTTGCAAAAATTGAAAAATGAATTTTAAAATTTTTTGCTGAAACTGTGTCCATGTCCCTTTGAAAATATTTTTATTCTAGGTCACATGATCTCAAGCAGACTATAACAAAATGCTGAGCTGTGAGTGAATATTTGAATGGGTGGAAATCGAATTGTGGATATGTCTACATGGCGAAATTTCCAAGGAATTTCATATTTTCTTTATAGAACTTGGCATTTACTGTGATAAAACATTTATTCTGTAATATTGTGTTGATTAATTTATTGAATAGAATTTATCATTAAAAGCTGTGATGGGGATACTTTTACTAGTATCATATCAGAAATACCATATACAGGACAGGTCAAGGTTACAGGAAAATTCATGGTCAAACGTTTTTGATGCAGTCATATAGTTCTCACAAAAACATACCAGCATATCTGAGTTTGATAAAAAATATTTTGTATGGTTTATTTAAAACTGAGCTAATTACAAATTTAAAATATATGCAGTTAAGGTCAAAGGAAAGGTCAAGATTAAAAATGCTGATGCAGTTGAACAGCTTACATCAGTATGTATCAGCATATGAAGTTTGATAACACTGTCCTGAATGGTTTCCTTAAAACTGAGCTAAACGCTAATTTAAGAAAATGAGGTCAAAGTCAAAGGAAGGTCAAGGTCATTTTTTAATGCAGTTGAATAGCTTACATCAATATGTATCAGCATATGAAAGTTGATAAAAATATCTCAAATAGTTTCTTTAAAACAGTGCTACATGTAAACACTTAATTAAGAAAAGTAACATAAAGGTCAATTTTTTTTTGTGATGCATTTGAATAGTTTACATTGGTATGTATCGGCATATGAAGTTTGATAAAAATATCTTGAATGTTTTTTTTTTGAATTGAGCTAAACAACTATTTAAGAAAAGTGAAGTCAAGGTCAAGGGAAATGTCAAGGTAAATAAATGTTCATGCAGTTGAATAGTTTACATCAATATGTATCAGCTTATGAAGTTTGATAAAACTCTAGAAATATGTCCATAGGACATGAATGCCCTGCCGAGGGTATATTAGTAATGCAACATGAAAATTTGATCAGAATATCTTGACAAGTGATGAAATTGAATTGCTTACATCAGTATGTATAAGCATATGAAGTTTGACACTAAATTCAGAAAGTGAGGTCAAGGTCAAATAAAAGGTTAAGGTAAAAAATGTTGATGCAGTTGAATTGCTTACATCAGGATGTATCGCCACATGAAGTTTGACACTAATTTAGGAAAAGTGAGGTCAAGGTCAAAGGATAGGGCAAGGTAAAAAAAATATTGATTCTGTCGAAAAGCTCTCATCATTTTGTATCGGTATATAAAGTTGAAAAAAAATTATGAATTGTTTCTTTAAAACTGACATAAACACAGTTTGATAAAAGTGAGGTCAAGGTCAAAGGAAAGGCCAAGGTCAAAAATGTTGATGCAGTTGTATAGCTCTCATCTGTAAGAAATTGAAATTGAATATAAGGGGGAGGGGGTAATTCTGGCGTTTCAATGAACATTTTATCAATAGTAAAGAACTATTTTGGAAAAAAAGTGGACAGGCCCCCTCCCCCGCTTCTACATGCCTGCATATTAATACTTATGATATTATAATAGTGATTAAATAATTCCTAAATCTATATTCCTATTAAATATTCCTATAATTCCTATATCTCTGATTGGCTTTCATCCAACATTATAAAGAAAAACATGTTATATTAACCTGCATGTGACCTTCCAGGTGAACAAAGCAAGCTCCTAAGGATTTTTTTCTTCATTGGACTAAAATATTGAAAGGCTTCTCTCCCCATTAGTGGACCCTTAAAGTCCCCACTTCCCGAAATAAAATTTGGAGTCGGAGAATTCACATCTTTTTTTCAGGAGGGCGGGGGGGGGGGGGGGGGGGTGTAATAAGAGATCCCCCCCCCTGAAAACGCCTCCTCCTCCTTTCTTAGTTACTTGATATGTTTATTTCTCTCAATGCATTTGGTTAGGACTTCAGCAAATGTTAACATGTGAGGAGATAGCTAGGGTTTGCTTTGGGTGGAGGTGAATGCATGGTGTCCTTCGAAGGTGGCTAAATCATCGTATTGACCTCAGAAACAGCAATAATTGTACATAATGCATGTATAATAATTTCATCGCAAATGCTTTTAAAGCTATAAAATGAAGTGTTACACACTACGAGTGTACGAATGTCTGTCCTTGACCTTTTGACCTCAAAATCTGTCTTCTTTAGACTATAAGGAATATGATATAAATTTCAATTCAAAAGTTAAAGACTTTTAAAAAATGCCCAGAAGAGAAATTTAAGTGTTACACAAAGGCTGAATGACAGACGGACAGACAATTATACAGACGGACTGTCTCATTGAAAGTAAGAGGGGGGGGGTTACCATCACGGTATGTTTTCAAGAACATACTTCTGAAGGAATTCCATTTTTCCTATGCTTGTTGATATTAGTTGATGGTAAAAAAAATAATTTAAAAACAATTAAGGATAATGAATATTCATATAGATGTATATATATATATATATCCTTGATTAGCGGGGATAGCTGTATATTATACAGGTAGTTCGATCGTCCTACACCCCTTTTTGGTTTGATTGACTCATGTACATTTTTGAATTCGGTAAAACCATGAGTGGTTTTATAAGCTATAGCATTATTCCTTTTAAACTTAGGACACGTTTTCATAATTTATTGATCACTTGTTATCGTAGATGGACCAGGAAGTATGTAATGATACGTTTATTCTCTCTCTCTACGTACGTGTTCCTTGCTTCCCTTTTTACTCAGTTTGATGACTTGTACAAATTTAAGTCTCAAATTAAATTTCTTATCAGAACATTCTCTTTTCTACTATAATTTGTAAAGTACAGCTTTTATTTTTTCATCAATTAAATAATATTTTTTGTATACAACAGACCCGTTGGATATGGAGGGGGCGTGGGCAGGCCTCACTACTTTGTTTCTGATAAATGTTTTTTAATGTAATTTTACTAATAAAAATTCTGGCATTTAAAAAAGGTCCACCCCCACCCCCAAGCACACACATTTTCGAGTTTAGGTAGCTAACTTTTTTCCCTTTTCTGCTTGAAATTCTTTTTATGAAACATGTTGCTACGGGCCTATATAAAATAATTATACGGAGATTTGGTTTGTTTTCGCAAACTCTACTACGTAGAGCTCACAGAGGCAACATTTTATGATGAAAATTCCGATGATCAATTTTTAAAACATACAGGCTAAGCAAACATAAGTTGATGTTACAGGTATTTTAACAAATTCAGTGTTCGTACAAAGTTAACGTTTCCTTACTATCAAATAAAAAATAGGCCTGTTGGGTATAGATTGGGAATTTCGTATTGCGATTGATGATGATATTTTTAACTGTATAAAATACCCGGTACGCATTGCAATATTATCAATAAGAATTAAAATGCTCTTTTCATTTTTTTATTATTCTCAATTTATATGCAAGTTTAGGAAAGCCCAATAAGCTCATATTCATACATAAAAAAAATAAATTTTTCGCGTTATAACGCGAAACTTTTGCGAATATTAAAACGCGTAATTTTCACGATATAACGCGAAACTTTTGCGAATAAACGCGTACCTTGCGCATTATAACGCGAACTTTCGCGATATAACGCGTAACTTTCGCGTTATAACGTGAAATTTTCGCGATATAACGCATAACTTCCGCGTTATAACGCGAAACTTTCGCGATATGACGCGAAACTTTCGCGAATAAACGCTTAACTTTCGCGTTTTAACTCGAAACCTTTGCGAAATAACGCGAAACTTTCGCGATATAACGCGAAACTTTCTCGAATAAACTCCTAACTTTCGCGTTATTTCGCGAAATAATATTCATATAGTAATGTTTCTCAGGAACATTGATCTTGACTGCCAGATTAAAACATGAACACAGACGGGAACTCTCAGGAACTTTTTAATAAAATATCATTTACTCAGAAGATGAACTGGAAATGATGCGAGAATAGGATAGATTAGTCATCAGAATATTTTTTTTATTTTAAAACCTTACCATTGAATTAATAAAATGAATTTTACTATCTTGTACATGTTTTTCAATTGTTAAAATCTTTAGACTGATTATTTTCTAAGGAAAATCTCCACTTGACACTTTTTTCAAGCTGTTTTTTAATCAGTAACATTTACTATAACTGTACCACTAGTAAATTAAGCAATCAATCGTTTTGGACAAAAAATTATACACTGTAGAAACATAACTTAAAAGTGAATGAACAGTGTATAATTTCATGAGCTTAACGGGTCGTGTGATGCTGTTTAAATAACAATTATAATTGGATATTGCTAGTTACAAATTTACTGAGGAGGAAGGGTCTCTAAATTTTCGCCAATATTTATATATTGGGTTATAGAAAAGTTCGTGGAGTAGCCATAAATAAAAACTATGAAGGTATACAGCAGAGTTTGTACACTTTGAATTGTCCATGTTTTCGTAAGCAATGGAATGACAACGTGGTGAAACCTCAAAATAGGATATCGTATTTCCACAGTGAATCTATGAATCCAACGGAGACAAATGAAAATCTGCTATGACGTTGCGCACGGTGTTGGTGTCACTTTCGGTAACGTCAAAATGACGTTATTTAACATGACGTTAGAAGGTCGAGTTAATGTCGTTTAGGCCAGCTTTAAAAAATTGTTTGCTTGTCCTCTCCCGACTCTGGATTAAAAATTGGGGTCAGAAGATGAGATACATGAACATTATTTTTCACAGAAAATTTCAATATCAAAGCTAAATCTTAAACATATTTTCAGATTACATAAACAATATTTTCTTCATGATTTTTAAAAAAAATTAGAGTCGGGTCATTTTTATCCAGTCGGTCTGCAAATGGAAAGGAAACAAAATTTTGATTATAGCCTTGTGTTTCTAATTCATTTTGGCTGTTATTGTATGGTTTTGAAAACTAAAAAAATATAGTAAAACTCTAAATCAGTAGTTTATTGTTCATTTCCTTCAGTGCTACACATTCATATTATATGATAATCCTTACATTTAGTAATGCATGGTGCAACAGTGAAGAATATTCAGACATTTACAAGTATATCACTGAAGTGAACGTGAATCAATCACACTTTGTAAAATTGAAAGGTGCGTGTCCTCTGAAAGGATAATTTCGTTTCCATTAATAGGAAGTTCATTTTTAGAAAACATATAAAGAATAGATT